ACAAGATGTTCCTCATCACCCCCACTGTGCTCAAGAACAACAACATTCCCGTGTACAAGGTGGCGTGAGAACAGACTGCTCTGACTTTGATGCGACCTACCTCGCATATGCTTGTCACCTCGTTCACCCGCACGCACGCACACACGCACGCACACACACACACACACAATTTCATTCTTTCTCTCTCTATATCTCCTGCTGTTCACCCTTCCTCGACTGCTCCAGCTTTCACAAACACCCGCATGTCAGTCACAACGACGTTGGCTCATCTTTTTTCGTTTGATCGCTTCTGTTACTGTTGTTGTTCTGCCCATGTCTTCTCCTGTGGCAGACGGTGCACCACGCGGGCGAGTTTATGATCACGTTTCCCTCGGCCTACCATGCCGGGTACAACCTCGGCTTCAACATTGCAGAGTCGACAAACTTCGCAACAGACAGGTGCCGTGGATGCACTTGTACGTGTGTTTGTTTGAATTTTGTGTCGGTGTGCTGTCTCGTCGAGAGCATTGAAACAAAAACGCTGTCCACTTGATAAGTTGATAAGTCGTTATCTGCGTGCTCATATTCCCGTCATTCCCCACCACCTCCTCCCACCACCACCACCACCATCACCATCACCTCCTCCCACCACCATCACCATCACCATCACCATCACCACCACCATCACCATCACCATCACCATCACCATCACCATCACCATCACCATCACCATCACCATCACCATCACCATCACCATCACCATCACCATCACCATCACCATCACCACCACCACCACCATCACCACTGCTGCCAGGTGGATTGAGCACGGCCTGCTGGCGGAGTCGTGCCGGTGCCACAGCGAGTTTGTGCACATTGACATGGACGTGTTCCTGCGGCGCTACCGGCCATCGCTGTGGGCGGTGGTGGAGGAGCACAGGGCGGCCGTGGAGGCGCAGCGCTCGAGGCAGCGCGAACTGGACGAGGCCGAGCGAAGGCTGGAGATGGGTATCATCGACAGCAGCAGCAGTGATGGTGGCAGTGATGGTGGCAGTGATGATGGCAGTGGTAGCAGCAGTGGCAGCGATGATGATGATGATGATGAGGGCGTGAATGGACAGCGAGGCAGAAAGCGGGCTGTTGCATCTGCAAATAGGAGGAGGCGCAAGACGACGGGGACGAAGAAAACAGCCCGCAGCAACACCAGGGGGGAGAACACCGGCAAACGCAAGGCGGACGCGCGGCCAGAACAACAGTGAGTGCATTGTGCCTTCAGGCGAGGAGATATGTATGAAGAGGAGTGACGTGTGCTGGGAGTGGGGCTGGAGCTTGAGGTGTGGTACCCACTAGGCCGCGTTGAGCCAGACCGCTGTCTTTCTGTTTGTTCGTCTCAACTGACACTCGATGCTGTCCACTGGACGCTGGATTGTGTTTTCTGCAACAGACGGCGAGTTGACTCGAAGCAGCACCGCATCCGGCAGGCGTGGCAGAAGGTACATTCCCCAGGCTCATGTCCATCATTGCCTTGCTTCTTGCATGGCTTCATTCATGCTTGCCTTGCTTGATGCATGGCTTCATTCACGCTTGCCTTGCTTGATGCATGGCTGTGCTATTACCTTGCGCTCATGGCATCACCTCCCAACCGCTCTGTCATCCAATTAATAACCCTCCCCCTTCCCCCTTCGCGTATACTTCCCTCCACTCTGTGTGCTTGGTGCAGCGGTTTGCGCTTGAGCGGGTGTACAACCACCGGGTGATGGAGCAGGACTCGGCCCACAGCGGCACGTGCTGCGTGTGCGGAGACCGCGGCGTCCTCCCTCGTGTTGCCTGTCTTCCTGGCGGCGATCACGACGACGACGACGACCACGATGGTGGTGGTGGTGGTGGTGGTGGTGGTGGTGTGGGGGCGAGTCATGGCAGCAGTGATGGGCACAGCCGCAGCAGCGCTGGTCACAGCAAGACGGGCGGTGCTGTGCTTGCACAGGCGAGGCGCAGCAAGCATCCGTGGAACGCATCTGCCGTTGCGCTGCTTCGATCATCCATCTCCCGCACAGGCACTCGCGTCAGCAGGATGGGCAACCACGATCATGGTGGTGAGCATGGTACAAATGGCGGTGGCAGTGGTGATGATGGTGAGCCGCGCCGCAAGCGGGCAAAGCGGACGTTGGAGAAACAGCAGCAGAAGGCAGTGCCCGATCTTCTCGTCTGCCAATCTTGCCTCATCGCCGTCCACCCAGGCTGCTATGGCGCCGACATGGACGCCGCGTCATGCAAGAGCTGGCTCTGCGATCGATGCAGGGTTGACGCCACGCGCGCGGTGAGACAAAACACACTAACTGCACAGTGCTCGACTGTTCAACACACCACACCACACACACAAACACACACACACACACACACAACCACAATGACACACGTAGACACACTCGCTTCACATGCAGCACTCGTCGTGCCACACCCTTCCAAATACTCACACCAAACAACCACCCTGCTCCTTATCGGCACCCGGTTTATTACCAGTCGTGTGTGCTGTGTCCGAAGCTTGGCGGGGCACTGAAGCCCGTCTCACCGCTCCGCCCGAAGAAGCGCGACGATGCAGCTGCTGCACCGCCACCGCCACCACCTCCATCAGCTCCTGCTGCCGTCACTTCGCCTGCTGGGTGCTCGGACGCAAAGGGCGAGGTTGGCGGTGCGGTGGACGTGGACTCGCTTTCGCCGCTCTCCAACGCCAGCATGACATCTGCCGTCTCCTCCTCATCTTCACTTGCGCCAACAGCAACGGCATCGACAGCAGTAGCAGCCGTATCGTCATCGTCGTCGACTGTGGCGTCGTCCGACGGTGGAAAGCGCGTTTGCGGGCGTGCGAGCAAGCGGCGGCAGTGGGCGCATCTGCTGTGCGCGTATTGGGTGCCGGAGGTGGTGTTTGAGGCGCCAAACCTCAACGTCGTCGACGTGAGCGCCGTTCCACGAGCCCGACAACGCCTGGTACGCAGCAGCATTGCAGTTCCGCGCTGTCCATGCGTGTATTGGTGGTGGTGGTGGATGCAGCTGTGGTGTGCCGTCAGCTTGACACCAGTGTCTCCTCCATCTACACGCATGCACACACACAGACGCACACACACACACACACAATTTCAAACACAATATCACTCACGCTTGCTCCTTTGCTGTGACGTTTTTGCAGAGGTGCAGCCTGTGCAAGAACGACCCCACGCCGCTGCCGCGTGATTTGTGGCAGGATAGCAGCCTGTCCCTGACCAACCCGCCCAAGACGAGTGCAGGGGCACCTGTGCAGTGCTGCAAAGGCAGATGTGTCACCGCATTCCACGTCTCCTGCGCATTTCGTGCCGGCCTCCCTTACACAGTACGTACCGACACGTTTGTTGCTGCGTTAAAGTTGTGCCTATTTGTGTGTTTTGTGTTTGTGTGCGTGTGTGTTTTGTGTTTGTGTGCGTGTGTGTTTTGTGTTTGTGTGCGTGTGCGTGAGGGTATGTGTGTGTGTGTGTGTGAGTGAATGATTGAGTGTGTTTGTGTGCGTGTGTGTTTTGTGTTTGTGTGCGTGTGTGTTTTGTGTTTGTGTGCGTGTGTGTTTTGTGTTTGTGTGCGTGTGTGTTTTGTGTTTGTGTGCGTGTGTGTTTTGTGTTTGTGTGCGTGTGTGTTTTGTGTTTGTGTGCGTGTGTGTTTTGTGTTTGTGTGTGTGAGTGAGTGAGTGAGTGATTGAGTGTGTGAGTGAGTGAGTGAGTGAGTGTTTGTGTGCGTGTGTGCATGTGTTTGTACCCTTTCGATATATATCCATTCATGTGCACACTGTGACTGTGCATTTTCGCGTTGTGTGAATGACACAGTTCCACGACGGCAACTTTGGCTTTTACTGCGCGCGCCACGCCCCAGCATCGGTACGTGTGTGAATGAGTGTGGGTAGTGCCATGCATCTCCATTTAGGACGGGCTTTCTTCTCTGATCCTACCAGCATGCATCACCACCCCACCGCGACGCTTCTTCCCACCGTTGCTGATTGCCCTCCTCGGCACCTTGCCTTGCCCACCTTCCACGACAGGGCCAGCAGCAGCGCCGCACCGCGCCTGTGAACGTCGGTGACCGGGTGCGCGCAAAGTGGCAGCTGAACCACTTCTTTGAAGGGATGGTGGTTGACATTTCCATCAAGGGCCGCGAGGTAAACGTCGAGTTTGATGACGGCAGCACGTGCGTCATGCCACTCACAGACGTGTTCCTCCCGTCCGCCACGCACCCAGACGAAAACGTACGTGGGGAGAGGAAGGGGATGGCGGTGCGCATGTGTGGTGTATGTATGCGCAAGCATGCCGGAGTGTGAACAAACCGAACGGCATGACGAGCTATCATCTCAAACACACACACACACTTTGTGCAAGTCCCTATCCGTCTCTCACGCGTTCAATAACAACTCATTGCGTGCAGTTGTCCCTGCGCTCGAAGCATCTGTCGACGGAGGGCCGCCCTGCAGTGAAGGTGCTGTGGGAGGGCGAGATGCTTGATGCCACCATCATCAACTATGTCAACATCAACAAATACTCAGTAAGCAAAACAAATTGTGGGATTGGCGTTGCTCTGTGCAGTGCAAGAAACACAAATGCTTCTGCGACTGTTGCACTGCTCTAAGTACTGTCATGTATTGGTGCGTGCCCGAATCGGGTTCCTGCCATTCACCACTACCACCACGACCACCATCACCATCGCCACCTCCATCACCACCACCATCATCGCCACCACAAACGCAACACCAGGTGCTGTTTGACGACGGGTACTCGGCGACGCTGCCGCGGTCGGACGTCTATCTGCTGCACGAGCGCCTGCCGCCCCGCGCAAAACTGCACGTCGTCGACGCAGACGAGCGCGACAGCAGTGGCGACGCAGACGACGACGACAACGGTGATGATGATGGCGCTAAGGACAATGGCGAGAGCAGACGCAGCCGTGGAGAGGTGCGTATGTGAAGTGGTGGAGGGGTGAGGGATAATTACATCAGAAGCAAGGGTCGGCGATGGTAACCGTGTGTTTGTCGTCGTGTTTGCACCGTGTTTGCGTGTGTATCGTGGGGTGTGCTCAGTTAACGTCTGCTGCATCATGAGGAACCTGCTGCCCTTCCGACTCACCCTTGCTGTCCTGTCACGTGTCGGGCTTGCGTGCATTGTCTCAACAGACCTCCTCTGCCAGCACCACGGCAGCAACTGGTGACGGTGTGTCGGGCCGTGGCCGCCGCCGCCGCAACCCACCAGCCCATCTCGACGGCTACGTCCTCATCTCGTGATGGCAGCGACAGCGGTGGTGGCGGTGTGGAGAGAGGTGCTGTCGTGCGTGCTGCATGTACACACGCTGCTGACGCGCTGTGCACAATTCATATCTGACTGACTTATTTGCGCAAAGTTGTTGCTGCTTGGCAGCGTGTTGTATGTGCATTTCCGTGTTCTTGTGATGGTTCGCTGTGTCGAGTATTTCGCAACGTTTCTTCCCCCCAGATATGTGCTTGCTTTGTTCTTCAGGTGTCACATTTCTTTGTGCCTAGCATGTGTCTTTGTATGCACGTGTGATTGTGTCCCGAGAAAAATATGACTTGAGTGTCCCGTCGAGTGTGTGCGTGTCAAGAACAGGCAAGTAAGTAAACCAACTTCTTTGAAAACGACCAAACCACGTGTATGCATGTGCGAATGACCATGACTTGAACGACTGAGAACGTGGTAGACTGGGCAGAATTCCCGTTGCATCAAACACCAGCGACAAAGGCACGAGACAAAGGCACGATTTAAGCAGTTGAAACTTGGATCGAAAGGAACACGGGAAAAAAACAAAAACAAAAATGGAAACCTCTAACATATGAATTGTCCAAACACAAGTGCGTGGAAACAGTGAGTGGCGTTCACCTTTCTGTGTGTGTGTGAGAGAGAGAGAGAGTGTGTGTGTGTGTGTGCGCGCAGCTCACACAAACTTAAAGCCCTTGCAGTCCTTTGCTCGTGCCTCTTCGTCCTGCAGCTGACGGCGGAACTTGCCAACGTTTGCTGTTGGAGGAGGGAATGTCGTGAGCATGCATGTGAGCATGTGTGTGTGTGAGCATGTGTGAGCATGTGTGTGTGTGAGCATGTGTGTGTGTGTGTGTGTGTGTGTGTGTGTGTGTGTGTGTGTGTGTGTGTGTGTGTGTGTGTGTGTGTGTGTGTGTGGCTGCATGCATGGGTGCCCACTTTCGCGTTTGCGGTTTACCTTTGAGGTGCTGCAGCTTCTCAATTTTCGCGGCGAGAATCTGCTCCAAACGGCGCGCATACTCTGCAGTGTAACACAAAACCGTGTTGGATGGTGAGTGGTGTAATGAAGGGGCAAGCAAGCGCACGCGTGCGAACACACACACACACACACACACACACACACACACACACACACACACACACACACACAATCAAGCACAAAGCCGAGCACCGGAGGCATGCACTGCGAACCTTCCGAGTCGCTGTTGACGCCTTCGACCTCGGCCAAGACCTTCTCCTCCTCGGTGAGCATCTCGCGTGCAAACTGGATGGCGGACCGGTGCTCCTCAATCACCGCATCCTCTGTCTCCTCCAATGTCGCCATCGCCTGGCGCAGCGGCGAACAGCAGCGGTGATTGGGAGGGGTCAGAAGAGATCAAGGTGGAAGCGGGGTGACACGGTGTGGGGAACAAATAAGGTGACGGTATCGTGAAGAATGAGTTTACATGATGGGATACACTTGAGGCACCTTCAGCCCACAGGCAGGCATCGCATCTCACAGCACACCACACGTCACATGAGCGGTGGCTGACCTCGAGCTGTTGAAACATGCCGTCCATGTCTTCGTCCTCCCCGCGCGAGCGCATGCTCTTGTGCAGCTGCTGCAGATCGTGCTTGGCCAGCGACGAGTCCAGACCCACGGGCTGGCGGGCCACGTGCACAGTGTGTATGTGTGTGAGTATGTGTGTGAGTTTGTGTGTGTGCGTGTGTGTGTGTGTGTGTGTGTGTGTGTGTGTGTGTGTGTGTGTGTGTGTGCGTGCGTGTGTGGTGTGTGTGAGCGTGCGATTTGATGCAGTTGACACAACACTGACGTCGAGACAGTGGACATCCAGTCTATCCAATCCATCGCCCCAACGAGCACCGCCATCGTCACCAGCACGCACCCCAAACAGTTGCCAACCCACCACCGCCACCGCCACCACCACTGTTGCGTACCGGTGTCTCGTCCTCCAGCAGGTCCTCGTCTTCGTCTTCAGCGGCAGCTGCGGGCTCGGCAACCTGAACAAGTCGTGGCAGGCGGGAGCAGTGTTGGTTTCGCGTGTGGCGAACACGCGTGGATCGGCACATCAGCATATGCGTTCAAGGCACACGCCCTTCATGATTCACACATGGCATTGCCAGGTGCAGCGAACTTCAACAATCAGCAGCACACCGACACGTGTGTGTGTGTGTGTGTGTGTGTGTGTGTGTGTGTGTGTGTGTGTGTGTGTGCCAGAATCTTGTGAAATATGGGGTCGTGAGTTCCAATATA